GGATACAAATAATATTTCAAGTATGGCTAGTGCTTGGAGCACAGCGGGATTGCTTTCTAATTCTTATTCTACTCGCTTTCCCGATCCCGGACTCTTTAGTCTGTGGTGGGCTCAAGGTGCAGTCCACTTATTGCTAGATTCGGTCAACAAAACTTAAGAAAGTCAGGCACTTTTTTTTCCTGTTCTCTGTCTAGGTCTATCACCCGAACAGAAGCTAAAGTAAATTTAAAATTGGCCAGTACTAAGACCGGTACTTCAGAAACCAAGGGATAATCCACTTCAGAACAGTGCCGTCGACTTCAAAACTAACCATTTTCTTTCTTTCAATCACTCATAGATCATTCCATATAGTCCTTTTGGGGTTCCGCATCATCCCCTCACGCCTCTAGGATCATCCGATCTCGCCGATCAATGCTGCGTACACGGGTTACCCACGCCGCGTCTTCCTTCGCCCTCGATGGCGGCTTTTACGGCCTGCTCGGGCGTTGCAGCCTTCTCGGAGGGCGTGAAATTTCCGCGCGGGTGGAGGCCTCCGGCACCCCGCCTTCCGTGCAACCCGCGAATCGCCAAACGACGGCGCTTCCATCGAAAACCGGATGGCGCGGGGTCGAACCGATCCCCCTGCGAACCGCCGCGTCAGGGTGGGGAGGGGGAACCCCCCCTTTCGCTTCGATGCAACACCGCTTTCACTCCACGCAGGCGCCGAAAAGTCTGACGAGGCGGGCCCCTTCCAAACCCCCCCGAGGCGGCCCCGCCGCGCGATCCAAACCGACGAAACCCCCCCCTGTGGCGAAAAAAAAAGCCCCCGCAGTGGCGCGGCGGGCGGCGCCATCGGAAACGAACCCCTCCCCGGCCCCTTCGCGGCGTCGTCCTCGTCCGGGCGGCGCGGCGATGTCGATGTCGATGTCGATTTCGCCAGGGAAATCCCCCTTCGACGCGGCCGCGCCGTTAAACGAGGCCAAGGAGCTCGAACGCGCGGCGGAGGTGCAGCATCGGGAGGTGGAATTCCCTGGCGAAATCGACCGCGACGACGCCGCCGATCGCGATCGCGAATCCCTCCTGACGGGCGAAGAAGGGGGGGAAGGGAAAATCGAGGCCGCGGCGGACGAAGGGGAGGGGCGGGCGCCCCCCCCTGCCGAGGTCGACTTCGCGTTGGAGGCGGAAACCCCTCTGAACCTCCGCCTCGCGACGCTCACGCGGCAGCCCGGGAAGGCCTTCCGCTCGATCGCCGTCTACCTCCCGACCGATCGCGAGAGTGTGAACCCCGCCGTCGTCCTGGAAGACATCGCGAGTGGGGCGAAGTGGACGGGCACGCTGGAGGAGCTCCGCCGGGGGTATTTCGCGTGGATCGCGCGATTCCAGGCCGCCTTCGTGGCGCTTTTCCTCCCCACCCTGCAACACCCCCACGCGGGGCGGTTGCAGCGGATGATCCTCCACCCCGACCTCGGCGCCGCGTCCTCGGCCGTGGCGAGCCTGGACGCGCCGGATGCGCTGTTCTTCTCCTACACCAAACTCCGTGAGGTGATGGGGAAGAAAAAGCGCGACCTCGCGCTGGATCCGCGCCGGCTCACGCTGGACATCCTCCAGGCCTGCGCGGAGACGTGGAAGAATTTCATCACCACCCCGTTCGCGTGCGCCCCGCAGCCGGTCCTGCTCGCCGCCTTCAACTTCCACGGGACGGCGCACGCGATGTTGAATAAGGAGCTCCTCTCCGCCCAGCTCACCGTCGTCGCGGATGCCTTGCTCGCGAGCGAGGGCGGCGGCGGAGAGGGCGGAGGAGGGGGGGGGGGGAACCCCCGCCGGGCGGTCTCCGCGATCCCCCTTGGGCAACCAGGGCGTTGGTGGTTGATTTTCGTCTCCGCGCCGGCGCGGACGGCCCCGATCGGGGCGATTCCCCCGATGCAGGACCTCCTCACCGGGCAATTCGTCGAGCCCCTCACCCTCGCGGGGCGGGAGGTCATCTACGTGATCGGGACCGGCGCCGCCGCGGAGGCCTTTGGGCGGGTCCCCGCCGCCCGGAAAGGCCGTCTCGCCGTGGCGATTCGCCTGGCGGAGGTCGAGGCGCGGCTCGGCGGGGCCCGCCCCGAGCGCGCGCCCCTGACGGCGGTCC